AAAAAAAAAACCTCCCGGAATATTCTTGAGGGGGGAGAAATCCCTTCCTGGCGCGCGTGCGTGCGTGCGTGTGTGTGTGAGAGAGAGAGAGACCTTCTCAGTCCCTTCACCCTCCCTGGTGTTTACCCCTCCCCCCAGATGTATTTACCGAGAACAGTCAGCGGCCCACTCGGCCTCCATGCTAGCCACGCTCTTCCAAGCACCTCTCCTACGCTAGGCCCTCCAGTCCCCAGCCGCGTCACCCATCACCACCCTCTACGCCACCCATCCCGCCTGGGCCACCCTCCCTGACCCGATCCATACAGCCGCCACCATCTCCTCCTCTGAGCCCCTCTCCAGATACACCCGTGCCCCACAGCCCATGGCAACATGCTGGCTGAGGAGAGGCAGCTATGGGGCACTTTGCTCCACAGGCTTTCCCCTCAGGAGCAGTGACCGATGGCCACTCCACTCCTTCCTGCCCAATACAGAGGGTCAGCTGTTAGCTGGGGGCAGAGAGGGGGAAGCATTTGTGGGTCTGATCCAAAGGCCATGGGAGTCTTTCCACCGGCTCCAACAGGCACCGGATTGGGCCCTTGGCACATGACTCCTGGGCATCGCCATCCTACCTGAGGCTTTGTAGAGCTCTTTGAGCGTCCCTTGCGGCTGTTCAATCTGGTGGACGGTCAGATCCACCGTCCCACCGCCGCAGTCAGCCACGATGTAACGGTCCCCTGGAAGAAAATAACAACAGCCGCCCCTAGCTCTCATCATCCACGGCTCTCGACCCAGGCCGGTCTCACGGCCCCCATTTTGCAGGTGGGGAAACTGAGGCACGGAGCGGGGACGTGACCTGCCCAAGGTCGCCAAGCAGACCAGTGGGAGAGCCAGGCACAGAACTCAGGTGTCCTGAGTCGCAGACCAGCGAGGCAGGAGAACTGTGCTCGTACAGACACCGGGTCCGCAGAGCCTGCCCCCTCCTTTCTGCCATGTGACATGGGGGGTGGCAGCCCCGATGCAGCCAAGTGCCCATCCCTCATCCCTCACCCATGCCCCTCACTCTCTGCCTCTGCACAGTTGCAAAGCTCGGGACTGAGGGCCAGGGCAGGGCAGGATGCGGCTGGGAGGCGAACCTAGCCCGGGGTGGGCAAACTACGGCCCGTGAGTCGGATCCAGCCCATCAGGTCTTTCAATCTGGCCCGCTGGAGCGCCAGCCCCGTTGCATCGCGGGGCTAAGGCAGGCTCCCTGCCTGCCCTGGCCCCGCACCGCTCCTGGAAGAGGCCAGCACCACGTCCCTGCAACCCCTGGGAGGGCGGGGGGTGGTGGGGCAGAGGGCTTTGTGCGCTGCCCTCGCCTGAAGGCACCGCCCCCCGCAGCTCCCATTGGCTGGCAGTGCAGCGATAAGGGGGGGCAATACTGGGACCCCCCCACACAACAGCCTTGCCACCCCTCCTCCCATGACCTCCTTTTGGGCCGGGACCCCCCCGGTTACAACACCGCGACATTTCAGAGTTTTAAAATCCTCTGACTGTGAAATTGACCAAAAGGGGCCGTGAATTTGGCAGGGCCCTAACAAGGGGCCTTGAGCGGAGTCTGTACGGCTAATTCCTGAGAACCACCCGGGGACCCGGCAAAGCGCTGGTGAGAGGCGGATGATCGGAGCAGCTGCCAGGGCTGCCGTCCTGCTGTGCTCCCGCCAGGCTGAGCTGTTTGCTGTATTAGAGCCTGATCCTGGACCTGGCCCAGCCAACGGGCCCGATTCTCCCTGACAGCCGAGAGCCGCCAATGGAGCCAAGGGGCAGGTCACACGGCGACATGACTCATGCCTGCAGGACTGGGCCCCCCCTGCGCCACTTTCCCGCCGGCTGCGGGGGGCGCCGAGCTCGCCAGTTACGTCCACCTGGCTGCTGCTTGTAGCCTGCGCTGCCGAGCCCCAGACCACTCCCTCCAAGCCAGGGGTTTCCCCCCACGCTCCCCCCGTGCGCCGCTTCTCGGCCTGACCCTGCTCCCCTCCCCTGCACACGGGCCAGGCGGGGCTGGACTGGTGTTGGCAGGGAGCTTGGAAGGGACCGCAGAAACACAGAGCACCGTTGCCACCAGCCGGTGACCGCTCCGTCCCCACAGGCCCCTGACGGTTAATCCTCACTGAATCCGGCAACCCAAAAAACAACCCCCAACGCTCCAGCGCAGGGACGGCCAAAACCTCCCTCCTGAGCGAAGTCAGCTTCCTGCGAGCCAGCCAGATGCTCGGTAAGGAGCGATTTCCTGCCGGCAGCGAGCTGACCTCAGCCCTTCCTCCCGAATTTCTCCAGAGCAAGGGAAATCGCTAAGCCCCTGGACGGGGCTCGCCAGGCAGGAAGGCTGTTGAAGAGAGCAGGCTTGGGGGAGGAGCTGGTCCATTCCTGTTGGTAACTGGCATCAAGGGGTCCCCTGAGGCCGTGTCCTCATTCCTTGGGCCTGCCTGGGAGCTCAGGGCGGGGTGGGGTGCTGACCTAGTGGTGGGTCTCACAATGCCTGGAGCCCCCCATGCCACCGGCAGCAGCTGCCGCAGCTTAAAACCTTCTAAAGCAGAACCTGAGGGCCCGGGTCCTGCTCTCACCGAAGCCGGGCGCAGCCGAGCGCGAGCTGAGAGCTGAAGATGCCCCCCCCAGCTTTCCTAGGGGCACAAAGGGAGAGAAGCATGCGGCCAGGGCACTGGATTGGGAGTCCGGAGACTGCGTTCTGACCCACTGTGGGACCAAGGGCAAATCTAGCTAAGGTCTTTCTATGGCACCGGTTACAGTAATAGCTGAACACCTCGCGTCTTTGATGGATTTAGCTCCCGACGCCCCTGGGAGGCAGGGCAGGGCTGTTATCCCCACTGTACAGATGGGGAAACTGAGGCCAAGAGCAGTGAAATGATTCACAGAGGACATACACTGAGTCATCTGCAGTGCCATCCCGATTACCGGCGGTGTGTTCTGACCACTAGACCGCACTCCCTCCCCGACTCTGGCAAGTCCACTGAAGGCGCTTGGCTTCAGACAGAACAGGTCCAGCAGGTCCAAGCTGGCCACTGTACCCAGCAAAGCGTGACAGTTTGAGCCAATATGGGCTTGGTGGGCACAGCTCAGGCAGGGAGCGTCACAATGCAGCCAACAGGCAGCGCTGTTGGCAGGACCCCTTTCATAAGCCCCTGGGTTACAAGGACACATGTCCAGGGACTCCACCGCCCTGAGAGAAGAGCGCCTGGGGGCTAAACCACAGCACAGGATATTAGCAGGGGTGGGGTCCCAGCTCTGCCTCCCTCTGTGACCCTGGGCAAGCTGCTGCCCCTCATTGTGCCTCAGTTTCCCCAGTTGCGATCTGGGATTTGGCAAGTGCACTGCAGAAGAGCAGTGTGGTGCTACTGCTCGTGTTTTCTCCATCCCAGAAGGATTTGAGGCCAGAATCCTCTGCTTGGTTTTCAGGCAGTGCCGTGTGCTAGCTGAGAAACAGGGCGACCCCTGGAAGTTCGGTCCATGCTGTCGCTCATCTCTGGAGGAGAGAGAGCCAGAGAGCCACTGGGTCTCTCTGAAGCCGGCAGCCTGAAGAAAGAATCCCCTTGATATTAGCCCACTCCTGTCTCTTCTCCACTGCAAACCGACCCTGCATTTCCCCCTGCTCTAGCACCTTTCACCAGAGCTCTTTATACACAGCCACGAGCTAGCGTCTGGAAGGGCGGCGGCGTTATTCCCATTTTACAGCTGGGGAAACTGAGGCACGGAGCAGGGAAGTGACTGTCTCAGGGTCACCCCATGGGGTCAGAGCGAGAACCCTTTCCTAGGCCTGTGTTCTACCCACTGGGAACAGCTGGCCCCGAAGGCGAGATGAACCGGAGATCCTGGCAGCGGCACGAAGCGATCCGAGCCGTAGCGCCTGCGTCCCTAGCCCCTCAACCGTGCTACCTAATTAACGATTCCTAACACCCCTCAGCCAGGGACCGCGGCGCGCGCGGCAGCGGCAGGCACATGAGCTCCCACCTGACAGCTGGGGAACGGGAGCATTGATACTGCAGGGCCAAACGCTGCAGGTGCAAACGCCCCCTGAATCCAGATCTAGGGCCCACATCAATGGCCTGATTTTCAGCTGCCCTGAGAGTCAATAGGACGGATGGGCTCAGCACCTGCCAGCCAGGTCCCTGCCTCCCAAAGGAGCGGGCGGATGCTGGGACCCCCCGTGCCAAGCAGAGCTGGGCTAGCTGGACTTTCCCCAGCAGCGAGATCCAGGGGCCGTGTCTTAGCAGAAGGAGGGCGCAGCCAAGCCCCCCTCTCTGAGCAGGGGTGATACCCACCTGCCGCCTCGCTGAAACTCCCAGCCGCCCCCTAGGCACAGCCAGCAGGAGGCTGGCCAGAGCGCAGCCTCGGGGAACCCCCTGGGGGCAGAGGGGCAGTGGCATGGGGAAGCAGGGAGCTGAGCCCCTCGGGAGAGGCGCCATCTCCCTCTGCTAGGGGGCGCCGGCAGCAGCTGGCAGAGCTACGAGAACCATCTTCACACAGCACCCAGGGGCGACCGTCAGGGCCCAGGGCGCTCTGTGTATCGTGGGCAGGCCGGCTGGGGGTCGAGGAGACCCCAACTGTTGCCTGAGCTGCTCCACCAGGGACCCTCCTCCAGGGACAGCTGGAGACAGGGTGACCAGGGGCGAGAGTGTTCGTCTCGAGCAGGAGAGAGGCAGCGACTGAGAGAAGCAGCCTAAAAGCCGGCGGCGACTGGGGCGGCCGAAGATCCGGCCGCTGCGGTCGCCGCCGAAGAAAATGCCGCCCCGCAAATCCTAGTGCCCTGGGCGACCGCCTAGGTCGCTAATAGGTTGCACCGGCCCTGCTCAGGGGATGTCTGCACAGCACCTAGACCCCCCGGCAGGATACGGCAAAGCACCCTGCAGAACTCTCCGGGCGCTGCGGGACGTTCCTGCGCGGCCAGCGGGGGCGCTGGTGA